TCGAAAAGCTCCGTTTCCAAAATGCTTTCCGTCCACACGGAATTAAAGCTACGTTTTCAAATTTCGCCAGCGTAGTGTGAACGGGGCACAAGCGCCTTTGGAGATATTAACAAATGCCTACTTTCAATCATCGAAATTGCCTTCGAGTCAATTACAACATTCCTTTATCTCACGTTTTAGATGCATTTATTGCACTTTATCGTTATCGAACTGATATTAAAAGAAACCAGGATGATTATTTTCCCGTCCTATCTGCAGTTCTACAGTTTCATACTGGGAGTTAGTTCTTTTAAGTGTATTTAAATATGAAGTCTTTCAAATTCAAGTTTTAATGATTTTTTTAAATAAAAAAGTTATCAGTTTCTTGTTCGCACTTTTATTTGGGCATCTGCTAATATGATTTCTGACGTCCAAAACCCGTCCATCTAAATCGTGAGCACAAGAATTACCACTGAATTTGCGTGAAAATACTTTTCTTTTCTTTTTTTTTCATACTGAATTTTAGAGGAAGAAGTCTTCAACCGAATTTTAACTAAACTCAAATCCACTCAATTGGAGTTGAATATCTTTTCTTTATTGAGCCCGGTCACAGTTCAAAAAAATTTATTTCAGTTTTGTAAGCGGAACGATGTGTAATTTTCGTGTGTTATGCAAATATCTCATTGTTTAGCAGGGGCTGCGTTTTTAAATTGTAATAATACAGCAACCATAAATATTCGCTTCTGATTGGTTGGATGGCTGAACAATTACATTCTAATTTGAGCAAGGGAGTCAGCTCTTGGTAATGAAAGGGAACATGTTCGATAAGATTTTCAGGTTTCCCGTTTCAGACCAACGAGAAATAAAGTTGAAATACTGAAATATTTCACCACGACGTGGCTTCTTTTTAGCAACCCTCTAAGATAAAAAGACGTCCGTTTCTCTGATAAAAGGTTGTATTTACAGTTGCCTTATTATCAAAGGGAAATCGATCATTTTCCTCGAAACAATTAGGGATAAATTGTACTTGTGAACAGATCAGACGTTTCCTAATTTCCACAACAAACAGACCGATTTCCAATACCAATCCAGCCAGAAAGTGGCTCTTTAGCGAAATATTGCAGGTACGAAAGATAAACACAATTCAAATGCTGAATTTAACAGCCAGTGCACAAGATAAGAATACAGAGTTTCTTATTGTCCAATCAGATGGAAGTCAACCCATTTGGTCTCTGTATAAGCGAGTGCAGTACATCTGTTTGTCTATTATCCGTCAAGGCGTTTGTGCAAACTGAGCTAACGTGTCAAAGTGTGTAAGTTTTTTTTTATGAATAATAAATCAGAAGGCCAGGCGAGACACACGCAACACTTGTACCATCCTATATCCTGCAAAGGTGTGCAACACATGTTGAGTTTAAATGCTGCTTTAATGGAGCTCAGTCACGGTATTTTGAGTTATTTTGGCGACATACAAAATTACCTTTAAATGGTAGGAAACCTGAAAATAGCAGTTTAATAAGATAGAAAAACACCAAAGAGATGATGATAAACCATAAACTGAAGGAACAAGGTTGGCTAAGGATGGAGAAGATTAACACGGATTACAAACGACGAATTTGAAAAGTCTTGTATTTTTAAATTATCACGATGTCTCGTATTTCAAATTATTATATTTTAGTCTAGGGCCCCTCTGGATATCAGCCTCGTCGCTGAATGGGCTACCCTGGCTAAATAAAGTTTACCTTTACCTTTACCTTTAAAATTGAGGCTAAACTTTTCAATATGCGCAAGCGTGACGTAGCTCGTTTAAGAGCCCTTAAGCAATGTTTTTGCTAATGATGAACTTAAGCTTTACTCCAAACTTTAGACAAGTTGGCTCCAAATAAATTAACACAGCCACTTTCCCTGGCAAAGAGAAAATTAAGAAAAAATTACAGTTGTTTTAGGATCTTTATATTTTATTTTGACTTCCAATGACTCCACAAACTGTGATTATTGGCAAGTAATGGCTCTTTTAACGGCCTTTCTAATTTCCCGACTTCGCATGCAATAAATAAACGGGTTAAAAGCCGAGTTGCTGAATTCTGCCAACGCTCCCCAAAACCAATATCCATTTATTCTTGTTTTCTGACAAAGATCAGAGGTAAAGAATTGAACAAGGGAAATCACTAAACTTGGGCTCCAACAGATTGTAAACACACCAACGATAATTCCAATTGTACATGCTGCTTTACGGTTCTTGACTTGTACAATAACTTCATCTGAATTAAAAGTCTCCTGCAACGAAATTCTTCTGATTTGCATCCGAGCCGCCTTGAAGATGAAATAGTAACAGATTGAGATGAGTGTTATAGGTGTAATAACCGTGATCACTGTCGCCGCAAGCCAGAGTTTGGGCAACTGAAGAGGATCTGTGACGAAAAGTCGCAAAGAAGCAAACAAGATCGAAAACATCCAGATGAAAACGATTATGATTCTCACGCGCTTCCAAGTCATTATTTCATGGTAACGCATTCTTGTAACAGCGATATACCGATCCATGCTAACTGCAGATAAACTAAAGGTAGTTGCCACGATGGTTTGCATCGTCAAGACCTCTATACCAGTCGATAGTTTGTTGTCGCTTTTCCAAATATTCAAGATGCTCTTTGCAACCCACAAAGGGTTCATCAACAATCCGACTGAGAAGTCCGCCAAACTCATCGATGCAATAAACGCATTTGACACGGTCCTCTGGGTTGGAACTTTGTAAATAGCTGCTAAAATGAGTGCGTTTCCAAAAACAGAGAACAACCCCAGGATTATATTCATCGTAGATAAAACCATAATTTCTGAGCTGGTGAGCGCTCCAGAACAATCAGTGGCTAAATCCACTGGTGTTGCGCCAATATTCATATTTTGTACACTGACCTGAACACAAACTGAAGCTTTCAATTCCCCTACTTGCTTCGCCTTTTTTCTGAGGCGTTTTGTCAGCTAAACGGGAAAATAACCAGTGCGCACGCTGAACAGGTCAAATCCACTATGACTGTTAATTAGCAGTGGACCACAAAATCGTCGAGCAGATGCTGTTTCTCACAATTGAACTGCATTATCATGCATCTTAACTAATGACCGAAACTTGAGGGTCTCGACTGTCCAACGATTTATACTAATGCAAATGATAAGTGAAGAAAATGACACCAGCTTTTAAGCGCAAAGAAATATTAGATAAGTCCGGCAATTAAAGGGCACGCGAAATTAACATTTTAACGCTCAAAACATGGGAATGAAAACATAAACAAAAATATGATATTCGCACTTCAGCAATTTGCATTTATTTTGTAGATCCTGACACCACCGGTGTACAAGCTGCGGGAACGAGACAACATTCTAAATATGAAATTATGAAAGACGGGCTTCCTGCCAAGAATAGAGATGAAAACCATTCAGCGATGGCAGCAAAATCTGATTTGCATTTCTCTAATTACGATAATAAACTTGATCCAGGATAACAAAACGAATCTTTCAACTATTCCGGCATATATTTACCTGAATTAATAGACAGAAGTACTTTTTACCAAGCTTTTTTTCTTGTATTATTAGCTACGAAAGAGTCAATATCCGCTCCATACCACTTGACAAAAATTATTGTAGATCAGTGGCGGATGTGTTTTAGCGACTGTCGTTTTGCGAGGGCAGCTGTGTTCTTAGAAACACTGTCTCGATTTATTCTGACCCTTTTAAGATCTTAAGTATAGTTTGTAACATACGCCCTTTGGAAATGGTGCAATATTTTTTATTAAAATACTAATGCTCTTTGCCTTCAATGTACAAGGTGAAGATCAACATTTAATTGTCGCTTTAGTAAATTGATGATAATGCCGTCATGGTTCCATCATCAACTGACCAATCTCTTTCAAGTGGCTTTATAGGCCCAGTTCAGACGCCGAACTTTTCATGAGCCGAACCAAATACATTAAATTAAGTACATGAAAAGTTCGGCGTCTGAATCAGTTAAGAACGGCTATTTGAATTTGGAACGGCCCAGCCGTTCTTCCC